TGAGGCGGAAGGATCGCCGGAGCCCAGCAGGCCGAGGCTGCGGTGGCCGGGAGCGGCCACTGCACTCCAGTCTGGGCGACAGAGTGAGACTCCAACTCAAAAATAAAATAAAATAAATAAATATTTATAAAAGAAAAAAAACCTAAACACAGTTGCTGCTGTTGAAAGATAGACCATAAGATGTAAGGCAGGAAGACTCCTATGTCTTTTTTTGTACTAGGAGAGTCATTTTTCTCATGCAAACCCTCCAAGTAGCAAGCATACCCAAGAGTCTTTCGGCAGGGGCAGGACCAGCTGTGTGCCACTAAACAATAAAGGCAGGCATCTACAATGGCCTAGAGACCTAACTCCAAGCTCCATACCAGCCTCCCCACCCCTGGGACGCAGAGCATATTTTCCGTGGGTCCTTGATGGTAGCATCACCAACCTTTGGGAACAAAACTCCCCAGTTGTCTAAGGCGAACATGCAGCGTCTTGTTCTGTGGGACACTAAGCCGTGAATATAACACACTGCATTCCAAGACCCAGTGGAAGAAGCAGTTGTCTCTTCGTTTAATTATAGATTCTTCACTTTCCCTTACCTGTTAGAGTCAGCAATGTTGACTCTGGGGGAGTCACAGTCCACAGGTAGAGTCACTGATGCTAAACAAGGGGTGACTGTCAGGTAACGAGTTTTGTTTTGTTTTGTTTTTTAAACAAGCAAACCCTGATGTACATATTCAAGTGAGCATTCTTGTTAAAGGTGTCACATTTGTAAACTATGCTCATGTTGACTTTCTTTTGTGACTAAATATTAGAAAATGTAGTATGACAAGTAGGGGAGCTTTTATGGAGGGACAGGGACACATTTAATATGAAAGCTTTTCCAGAAAACCTGAGATATCACCCCAGGAAACCATTTGGGACGATAGTCACGCCCCCAAAGAGAGGGTTTTCCCCTGCATCTCACATAGACACCTTTCCCAAAGGAGACGGCCCATAGCTCCTATCCACTTCCCTTAACCCCATAAACCCCAAATGCCTTGCACACAAGAGGTGTTCAATAAATGTGAGACATTCGTCCTATCCCATCACAATAATTATATTCATTCTTCAGGAAATGAAACACAGCATCCATATTTTAAATGGAAACAAGGTCTTTTGAACCTAGTTTTGTTACTTACCTTCCCAGACACCCCCTCTCCAACTTACTTGCATGGATAATAGTCAATTTTTTAAAAAAATCGTTCAACAAACATTCATTGGGAAATGCCTGCATACCAAGCATGGGAGAAACCTGGAAATTCCAAGCATGTTCTACGTGTTTGCATGAAACCTTTGGCCCAAGGATGTGGTGCGGGCTCCCACGCCATCATGACTCGGTCTACTTTTTTACTTTCAAGGAGTGCAGACTCTCCCGTGTAACCTCAGGAATTATAGGGGGTTGTTGTATAACTACACTGGAATGAAATGTGTTTCTATTCTCCTGGTCTCTTCTCTGGGTGGTGCTCCTGTTTATTTTGACATGTCTTGTTTATACTTCTTTCTCTATAACCAGACTTCTCGGCTTCCTCGTGACTTAGATGATTCACATCTATTGTGGTGTGTTAGACAGGAGGAGCTGGTTATGCTTCAGTAACAAACAACCCCCAGATCTCAGTGACCTAAAATAACAAAGTTTTGCATCTTACTCTCACTGTATATCCACCAAGGGTTAGCTGGGGGAGGAGGGACAGGGCAGCCACAATCTTGAAAAATGAACATGGTGACACATGTGCTAGCTCTGAAAGTATCCCCCATAAGTCACTTCTGCTGTCATTTCCTTGGCCAAAGAAGTCAAATGGCCACACCTAACCTAACCAGGTGGGATGTGCAAGCCTACCAAGACCCTAACTGCAAAGAAAGACCAAATGCCTATGAATAACCCTAATCACCCTTATACGTGGCATCCCCAGTCCAACACTGCAAAGCCCTTCTGCTTCAGCAGCCACAGGTAATGATTCATATTTCTCATGATCCTTAGTTCAGACTGCAGTGAGAGAGACGTTAAGTGGCCCAGTTCATCATTGCCTGACAGGCCACAAAACTAGTTCGCTGGTTAATCTTTGGATTTGATCTTGAGTCATGGTCAGTCAGTTGGGAAGCAGGGATACACACTACAGCACATGGCTGTCCAGCCCAACCCTGTAAGGAGACCTGTCTACTAGAAGAATTTGTTGTTTGAGTTATGTCATGATGTTCTGCTTGTCCTCCTATCCAAGGTCATGGGGGATGCAGTCCATGAAGCTGGGTTGGGCCTGGAGCAGGGCAGAATCTCAACAGGGGTGAAACAGAAATGACTGAACTCAGGACCTGCCATGTTAGCCCATCTGTACCAAGGGACATAAAAAGTTAGCTGTGCATACTCCATTTTCACATGTGAACACCACAGGCTTCAACCTTTTAAAATAGCCCTAGGTGAAAGGGTCCTGGCGAGGAAGAGTGGAAAGAAAGACATCAATGGTTTTAAGTCACACAATAAGGTCTGAATATCTGAGCCTGGATTTCAAGGCCCTTCACCACCAACCTATCTTTCCAGTCTCATGGTCCCTCTCACTCCCCCAAAAACCTACTGTCCAACTGCCATCAAGCATTCCTTTTTCTTTCCTTGGCTCATACAACGGCCCTCCTCTCTAACTGACTGCTATTCTTCCTCTAAAATCAGTTTAAAAGCAACCACCTTTTCAGAGAAGCTTTTACTATCTGCTCTGACCTGATCATTTCTAGTTCTCCCTCCTCTGAATTCTTATAGCCCTGCCCACACTGGACATCTGAAGGACACTGATGTGTGCTACTCATGTTTGGGATTCCAGAGCCTAGTACCTACCTGCCTGGTATACAGCAGGTAATGGGGTGTTTAATAAATTGTCTGTAGCACTAACTCATCTCAGGAAACTTCAGTGAATTCCTTGGTTACATTAAGCACAGGTGAAAAAAGTCAGTCACCTATGGTCTCTCAAGGAGTTTCTCTAGTTCAGTTGCCTCTTTTTATAAATGAGAAAACGGAGGCTCCCAGAGGTTGTCACATGGCTAAGGCTGCATGGCAAAGGAAGTGGACAGGCCCTGTTTGGATGTCAGGGTCTGACCCCCGAGTCCCTATTCTTCCCTGCTCTGCTGAGCTCCAGGTGCCAGAGTCAGCTCCCGGAGTCCACACATCTGTGTATTTCCCACAGGCCTGGCACTCTGTCAGTGTCTCAGTGGCTGAAGTGACATATGGTGATTAAAGGTCTCTGGTCACCTTCTGCGCCACGCAGCCCCTGTGCACACAGATCTAATGTTCTGATCATGAGGTCAGAGTGTTTCTTTCCTCCTGGGCAGTCGGATTAGTGGAAGAAACCTGATAAAATCCCGGAGGGGAACTTGATCATTCTCCGAAAGACTTACAAGTTGTTTGGCCTGCCTAATCTGCTCAGATACCGTCCAGGGAAATTCGGTATTCATGTAATACAGGCTGTGAATTATTCTGTGGGGACTGTTAGCAAGACCCTCACGGATCCTGCCTCAGCTGGCCTCAGGCAGGGTCTGGAGGCAGCCTCCTCACTTTCCCTCCCAATGAAGCTCTGAAAAAAAACTGTCGTTCCCCCCCTCCCCCCCCT